TCCTTTGCAGCCTCCCATTCCCTTCTGCATATCCCACATCACTTTCCCATCGCCTTGGCTCGGACCTCCTCCGCCTCGCTCGGCCGACCACGTCTTCAATGTCCACCGTCCACGAAGCATGCGGGTGATCGTCTCTGGTTCACAGCCTTCACTCCTACTCTGGTCCCCTCATTCCCCCGCCTGGCCTCTCGAATCACGTTGTCCATCACGGACGTCTTCCATCACCCGGAAGACTAGAACCACCACCATCCCGTCCGTACCACACCTCAGCTCCCGAACGCGAGACCGCGGCTGTCCGGCTTGGCCCTCACCCAACCGGCGGGCTTCTCACATACTTCTCTTGGCTCCGCTTCACTTCCAACACTACTCCGCGCTTCTTAATCACAGCTCTTGGCGTTTTCCTGTTCCTTACCCATTGTTTTCCTACAAACCTGTACACCTGTACACGTATACTCACAGCCATGAAAGCGTCGTCATGTCTGTCTATTTTGCTCACCTTCCCCCCCTTGTACGTCGTGATCCCTGTGGGTCTGTATCCCGACTAGCCGGGTAGCTTTGCAGCTGCTTGTGCTTGTCACCTTCTCTGAGAGAGGAGGAGGACGAAGGGCGGCAGAGGGGCAGAATGAAGCTTCGAACACGTTGATCATCGCCGAGCCCATGGCACGACATGTTTTCCCTTTCTCTTGGCAAGATATTGTGGACTTCTAACTCAGTATAAAGAGTAGAGTCAGTGACCACCCTTTCGACGAGAGGAAGATGGCTGGACAAGCAAGACATTCCAATCCTCAGCCTGGCTTCCCCCTCCCCATACCCTTTTCGGTATATTCCATCAGCAGCAGAGAGCCTTTCCAAGCCGGCACACGCTCGCTTCTCTTTCAGAACGTCCCTTTCCGCTTAGGCGACTACTCAGCTTCGCAATCTCACAATGTTCCCTCAAGCATCTGTTCTCGCGGCCGTCTTGCCAGCGCTGACGCTACTGCTCCCGGGCGGCGTCTCCGGTCTCGTGATTGCGCCCAGGGCGACGAACTACACCCAGGAAGCCATCGATTCGGGCGCCGTGCTGTCTGATCTCAACAAACAGGCCTACAGCAACGTCCTCGCCCGTCTCGGGAACGCGACTGCGGCCGGTCAGAACGGCACCGCGCAGTGCACCAAAGACAATGTCAGAGTCCGTCGCGAGTGGTGAGTCTTTTGAATCCGGTCTTTTGGGTCTGATTTGTTCCTTGCCCAGTCTTGGGGAAAGGGGGAAGAGGATAGGGCAGACAACTTGATAGGGGAAGTCAACTGTGGACTGACATCCATTGCCCTTTTCTTTACAGGAGAAACATGCCGGATGAAGAGCGCATTAGGTACACCGATGCCGTGACCTGCCTCCAGCAGCAGCCGGAGTTATTCACCGAGATTGCCGGGTCCAAGTCCATGTTTGATGACTTTGTGGCCCTGCACCAGGCAGCGACGCTTTACGTCCACCTGTCGGTAGGTTATCGACCCAGACGAAGCGGTGTTTTGTATGTGTAGGAGAACCTCCAACTAATCAGAGTACTCATCTCAGGCAACGTTCTTCCTCTGGCATCGCTACTACATCTGGACATATGAGAACAAGCTGGAGTCGGAGTGCGGCTACAACGGTACGCTTATCACCCCTAACACACACACTTCAACATGAGAGCAAGATGAGCAAGACTAACACCACGCCAGGATCGTTCCCCTACTGGGAATGGGGTTTCGACACGGCCAACCTTTCCGCGAGCCCCGTCTTCGACGGCTCCGCGACCTCGATGGGTAGCGACGGCGTCCCGACCCCTCACCAAGGGCTCGTCCTCGTCAACGCGTGGGATAACACCACAACAGTACTCCCCGCCGGCACGGGCGGCGGCTGTCTGGCTTCGGCCTCGGCGCCTTTTGCCAACCAGACGGTCCACCTCGGCCCGCAAGCCATGCCGGACTACGGCAACGTCACCTCCTACAACTCGGCCACGCCTACTGACGACAATCCGCGCTGCTTGCGCCGCGATCTCAACGTCTACCCGCTCCAGCGCTGGGCCAGCCTCCGCAATACGACAGACCTGATCCGTGACGCCGGAGACATTGAGAGGTTCCAGGCCGTCGCGCAGGGGGACTCGCGGTACGTCGGGACGGGCCAGCTGGGTGTCCACGGGGGCGGGCACTATGCGCTAGGAGGGGACCCTTCGAGCGACGTCTACCTCAGCCCCGGTGATCCCGTGTTCTACCTTCACCACGCTCAGATGGATCGTCTCTACTGGATCTGGCAGAACTTGGACTGGCAGAATCGTCAGGTCAGTTGTCAACCCACACAGTCTTTGCTTTCACTTACTTGCCTTCCGCTCATGTTCTTTTCCTTACTTTGTGATGATCAATAAACGAGACACTGACTTCCGCCATAGACTATTTTCGGTACGAACACCACCATGAACCAGCCGGCTAGCGCCAATGTGACACTCGACGACTTGATGTACATGGGACCTTTGGGCGCCGAACTGTCCCTTCGCGATGCCATGGATACAGTGAATGGCCCTTTCTGCTACGTATACGCATCGGACTGAGAAGACCGCTTTTTGTCAGGCGAGCTTTGGAGGGCATTGAGTTGTCCTGTGTTGGCGAGTTGCGATATAGCATTTTCATTTTCTCATAATAGCGGTGCATGTGTGTAAGATAGACAAAGATAATAGAGAAGAAACTGCTGATCATCGGTTTCTTGCACCGAATGAGTCACAAGTGATGTGCGCCAAATTGCAGCAGTCGCGATGTGCGGCTTGATGGGACGCATGAGAAGGAACGCAGTCTCGGATTGCTATAGTAGTTGCAACCACTGCTTGTATCTGAGGTACTTGCAATTATCAACAAACAGTTCCTGAAGCACTAACAACCCTTATGCTACCGGTGTATTTCTCTCCAGACTCTTCCGCAGACTTTAGTACCGACATCCATTCATTACTGCGACAGGGACTATCCATGCCTGTCCCAGATCAAGACATCCTCCACAAGATATGGCATCAACGGCGCCTACCCCTTTCACCTGTACCTTTTGCTTCCAGCCCTCCGACGGCCCTTCACACGTCATCGGCCGGGAAGCCCGCCTAAGCTGCTCGCCCTGCTACGCCGCGCTGATCGACCTGGCCATCTGCTGGGTTTGCGGTGAGATCGTCTACCGCGGTGACGACTGCGTCAGCTTGGGGTAGTGCTTCTGGCATCGCGCGTGTTATGGGTGTATGTTCTACGGGAGCAAGCTCATCTACCGAGGGGTGCCTGTGCTGGACCTCTTTGACGATGGTCTCGATGCCGTTGTTGATGGGAGGAGCATGGCTGGCAGGGTTGCTGGAACGGAAGGCAAGGGGAACATGAAAGAGGTAGAGGTGGTGCCGCTTTGTGCTGCGTGTTGTGTTGGTACGGAGGGGGAGGACGTGGTGCAGAAGGGTTTGAGGAGGGTTGAAAGGGTTGATGGTGGACTCGGCCGCGCGAGATGGGGTGCTGGTGAGACCAGAGCCGGGCAGTTGAGGAGGGCTCCGGCGGTAAGTTATCTGAGTGTAATGAGGGAGTCGATGCTGACTTCACCCTAGTCTATCCGATCTCTCAGCCCGGACTCGTCATCATTCCGCAGAATAGGAGACGGATCTCACAACGAGAGCAGAGGGCATCTGGCAACACCACCCGGAGACTCTACGATATATGTCTCCATCAACGATCCCATCGGCCAGCCTGCCTTCAAGCCAAGTCCAACGAAGCCTATACCGATATGGATGCAGCCATTTCGGGGCCTTGAGCAAGTGGTCAGTGAAGAGCAGAGAGAAATCAATGTACTTCATCCACTCTCTGGCCTCTCACAGACTCCAGCGACGTCAATCTCCGGGACCCCCTCAATGGGGTCATCGAATTCACTTACACCGACCATCAGACCAACTACGCCGGTCCGCTCCACATCGCCGCCGCAAACACCGCCCAGGTCTCGTTCGATCTGGACGCCGTCTGAGATTCGACGAGCACCACCTCTCTCGTGGGTCAGCAACGAGCCCCTCAAGCGGCCGTCCTCTCGATTTGCGTCCCGTCTCGAGAAGTCGGACACGACGACGTCGTCGGGTTATGTCACTCCGCCAGAGACGCCCTCCGAGCAGCAGACGCGGTACAACACCCCACCGCCGCCGCCGCAGCCGCAGCTACGGCGAGTGCGGCCGCAGAGTCCACTGGTCCCTGCTCGGGTCCCACGGCGTCACGCCGTGCGTCGAACGCCTCCGCCTCAGTCTTCCGAGTACCTAGAGCGTTACAACCCCATTCGGTCCCCGTCGCCGCGACCACGGATCACACGACCAGTCATGTCAGCGTTCGGTCCACCCAGTCTTGGCAGAGCCAGCTTGGTGGTGTCGAGGCATGCGACTAAGGATGATGGTAATGGGCCGACTCCAGATCCGAATCAAGGCACGGAGAGGCTTCTCTCGGATGGGGCCGACTCGCCCGGCGAAGCGGGGAAGAAGAGGAATTTGCAGACCTTACGAAAGCTGTTCAGCGGGAAGTGAAGAAAATGGCGGGCAAGTATGCTAGACCCCAGAGATTAAATAGGACTTGGGCAAGTATTCTTTACCGCTAGTGATAGTGCGGAATGCGGGAAACATTCGAGAGTAGAATATATCTTCAGCAATGAATGCCTCAATGCTAATCTCACAACATTGTGGGCTCTTGCCGGACCCTCGACAGCATGGCCGAATCGAGAAGCATAACTAAGCCATCTGGCTGTAACATCATCCCTCCGATATTTATGTAGAGGGGTTGTAAGACTGGAAAGCTCCTTCACAAATAAAGACCGGGGTCGCGACATAACGGCCTTGGTCGCGCCAGGGACCCCGTCTGCAGTCGCACTTGTCATCCCTGCAAGCGCCCCCACACTCACCCACAAGGTGTGTGCCACCGGCCCATCCCGCCAACTGGCTAGCACCAATTCCATCCATCCATCCATCAATGCATCAATCCAAACACAACCTCGACCTTGATTACTTTCCACTGCATCCCGCTAAATTCTCAGCCTCGTCCCTCACAACGCAACCTCACTTCCACCCACCACAACTACGAACAACCGTTTCTCGACTGAGGTGCTCTTCCCATCCTCGTCGCATTGCTACCTTCTACCTAAAGACGATAACCACACATACGAAAATACGCAGCAAGATATCGCGGGGGACCTGTACCCAAAATGGCTCCGATAGACAAACCAACCCCCGAAGAGCTGGAACGTACGTATAACCCTCACCCACGTTGCGCCACCAAGCATGTCACTAACACACATCCCCCAAAAAAACAGAGCAACTAAAAGACACAATCCAAGACCTCTACCAAATCCTAGTCCAAGTAACAACCTACAACGCGACCCCTTCCGCGCCCACCGCACCCGCCCTCGCAGACTCGGTCCAAGCCCTCTCGCACTCCCTCCAGCGCGTCCACATGACCGCGACAGCAGGCGCCCCGCCCTCCCCCGACCTCCCCGGCGCGCTGCCCAAAATCCCGCCCGAGCTGGTGCAGTACGTCGAGAACGGGCGGAACCCGGACATCTACACGCGCGAGTTTGTGGAGCTTGTGAGGCGCGGGAACCAGCTCATGAAGGGCAAGATGAATGCGTTTGCGCAGTTTCGCGATGTGCTTGCGGATCACGTCGAGAGGGGCATGCCGGAGTTGAGGGAGGGTGTTGGGCGGGTGCTGGAGGGGGGCAAGGTTGTGGGGAGCGGGAAGCCTGGTGGTGGGCTGTGAGGTGCGCTGTTTTTCGGGGGAAGGGGGGGTGGTTTGTTTTACGAGCTTCGGGAGAGGCCTTGAGAGGATCAAGACATGAGGTTCTTCGGGGGAAACCCGGGCAGACGAAATGAGCGCAAGTTGGAGACGACCAAGGGCCAGGGTTGGATACCCAGTGGTGAAGGCGCATCGAGAGAGTTTGATACCCAGAGACGGACAGAGTCGTGTGGATAGCACGTCACACATGATAATGGAATATACGGAGTGATTGGCAACGATATCAAGCTTTAGTGCTAGCCCATGTCTTTTTCCACGCGACGTTTGCAGAGTCAATTACCAGCTGGTCAACTATGCCTAACTTTGCGCGCAAGAAAAAAACACGACAAGATTTTGGGTAGGGGCATCGTCACTCATATGCCCCTTTCAATGAGATATGCAAGACGCCTTCCAACCCATCCTTTCCCCAGGTTCGGTCATGAAATTCGGATTGGTTTCTGAGGGATATTGTTTGGTCGTGAACTCTTCTTCTCTCTTCTCTGTTCCTCTTCCCTCTCTCCCTCTGGTATGTCTCTACAAAAAAGGGTTGTAAAGGTATGAAAAGGAAAACAAAAAAGTGGTAAAGAGAAACGAAAAAAAAGGGACGATTGGGGTCGATCGATGCCTGGGTAAAAAACGCCGCCCGTGACACTTTTCTGTGCGTTTGTAGTCTATCCGGATCTGCAGTCGAAAAAAAAAAAGACAACACAAAACTCATTCCCCGCCGCGGAGCCGTATGCCCAGCTTCCGGGCCCCTATGATGCAAATGTACACGAATCCCATAGCTGCCGCTACCAGCAATAGGAGCTGGAACGGGACCAGGACTAGGGCGGCCACGATCCAGATTCCATACTGGCGAATCTTGTCCACAATCCGGTCGCCGTCTTCTTGGCGCCGCTTCGTGTGGCTCTTCATCGGCTTTGCAGCGAATGAGCCGCCCGTATTTCGTCCCGACTCTGCTGACTCGTCGGATGTTTCTGCTTCTTCCTCCGACTCGGATTGTCAGGTCGAGAAGTTGAAACCGCGTCCACCGAAGCCGCCGGCACCGCCACCTCCACGAGGGCGGCCACCACCGTCGGCAAAGTTGAAGTGCGCACCACCACCACCTCCGCCGGGGAAGCCGCCTCCATTGAAGCCGCCACCGCCGCCGAAGCCGCCGCCACCGCCCATCATGTTGAAGAGGATCTCGGGGTCGATGCCGCCGTGCATGCCGCCCATACCTCCCATGCCGCCCATGCCACCGCCGTGGCTGAACATGTCAGACGGGTCCATCAGGTCCTCGCCGCTGTCATAGCTGGCACGCTTCCTGCAAGCGGGGTTAGCAAATATTGAATAACGGACACACGTTTCAGCTTACTGAGAGTCACTCAGGGTCTCATAGGCTTCTCCAATATCCTTGAAGCGCTCAGCAGCCTGCTCGTCGTTGGGGTTCTTGTCCGGGTGGTGAATGATGGCCAGCTTGCGGTAGGCCTTCTTGATCTGGTTATCATCCGCGTCCTTCTCAACCCCGAGGATCTTGTAGTAGTCCTTGCGCTGGCTCTTCTTCAGCTCCAGCTCAGCCCGGCGCACCTCCTTGGCGATGCTGCGGTCCTCAGGATCCAACTCCTGGATGTTCTTCCACTCCTTCACGGCGTCCTCCCACTTGCCTGCCTGGCCATATGCGTTGGCCTTGGTCTTGCGAGCCTTGAGATATGTTGAGTCCAAGCTGATGGCGCGCTCGCAGTCAGCAATGGCTGCGTCGTACTCCTTGAGCTTGATCTTGCACAGCGCTCTGTTCTGCAAAATCTTGGAGTTGGTGCCACGGTTGGCGGGATCGACCTCGAGCGCGGCGCTGTACTTCTCAATGGCGGACTGCCAGCGACCCATCTTGTAGTCCTGGTTACCCTCCTCCTTCATGCGGTCGAGCTTCTGCACGATTCTGAGGTACTTAACCGCATCCCGCATGTCGGGGTCGCAGCTGATGGCCTTACGGAAGTGGCTGACAGCCTTGTCGTTCTCACCCTGAGCGTAGAGGGCACGACCGCGGAGCACCAGGGCCTCGGGGTCCTGGCTGTTGCCTCTCAGCAGGCCCATGGCAAGATTCTGCGCCTCGCCGAGGGCGTTGACGGTACCCATCTTGAGGTACGCCTCACCACGCATCAGCTGCCACTTGCGGGGTCTGGAGGCTCCGAAGCCAAGCTGACGCTCGGCCTGGTCGAGGGCGTGGAGCACCATGGATCCAGCAGTGCCGTCTCTAAGAGCACTCTGCGCAGCGTTGACGTGCTTCAGCATCTCCTTGGCCGGAGCCTGGTCCTTAGCGGAAGGAGGGGGGTTGATGCGGCCGAAGACCAGCAGGGCCTCTTGGGGCTGACCCAAGCTGGTGTAGATGCGAGCAAGTCGGAGGAGGATCTTGGGGTTCTCGGGGTCCAGGTCGGAGGCACGGGTGCAGTCATCGAGGGCGTACTCGTACTGGGTGTTGGACATGTATGCAGCAGCGCGGTTGCTCAGATAGGTAGCCGAATCGGGGACCAACTCGATGGCTGGAGCAGACTTGTCAATTTGTAGCCTAGACAGATTCGCAATCGGCGACACTTACCCTTGGAGTATTGAAGAATGGCATTCTTGTAGTCCTTCTCCTTGAAGAACTTGTTGCCAGCAGCCTTGTAGGCCTCGGCCTCGTCCTCAGTCGTGGGGACTGGACTGGAGGGGTTGGACTTGTGAGGGGGAGGGGCTGGAGCATCGCCGTTGCCGTTAACATTGGTGTTGATGCCGTTTGGCTTAGGGACGGAGAAGGAAGTCTGCGCAGAGGGTTGGGGTGCAGCAGCAGCGGGAGCGGCAGCAGCAGGAGGCGAAGAAGGCGCCGCGCTCGACTCACGGTCGATGTCCATGGCGTTTCCACTCATGGCTGAGAGTGCAGAAAGTCTCTTTGCACGTTCTTCAGGAGGAAGATTGAGGGGGTGAGAATCGAGGTCGATTTTGCTGCTCCTTCGTGAGCCGGGATCGGTGGGGTGGCGGCCAAAGGTGCGGGATGTGCGCGACGGCTTTGTCTCCCGAGGGCCTGGGGATGCAGGTTGGGAGGGTTTTTTGGTGGGGGATTTTGTTGGCGACTTGATGGGCGACCGGGGCTTTGTGGGCGACTTTGTGGGAGAAGAGGCCTCGGAAGAGGGGAAGTAGCTCGATTCTTGGTGGTTGTCGTCGTCGTCCTGACCTTGCTTCTTGGACGATTTCTTTGCGAAGAGCTTCATTGATAAAGCAGGCGACCCTCTGAGGGGAACCAAAGAATGCGCAGGCTTATTTTTTTGTTGGTTAATTAGGTAAGGAGGGTCGGTACACCTCGATGCAAGGTTATGCTTGTGCACCAGATTCCCCAAACCACAATAACGGGCCTAGTGAAGGAGGGCGGGCAGGCAAGAGTGCGGAAAAAAAGCACCTGCTATTTTTTTTCTTCTGGGCTGCTTGGGTGCGTCCAGTGGAAGGCAGCCGAACCTTGCCTTGACTCGGATGGATGAATACGGGAGAGGGCGGCTTGTGCGGAAGTTGATTGCAGATGGTCGTCCCGGTATGTTCGTTCGTATCGAAGAATCCCGACGAATACAACGATGATGAGGCAGTGTGGTGTGAGTGAGCGAGACAGTTGAAGTGTGAGTGAGAGTAAGGTAGGAGAGAAGAGGAAGACGGATTGGCTGCTCCCAGAAGGCAAGGTTAGGTGAGGGCGGATGAGGAAGGAAAAGAGGAAGGAAGCCCAGGCTATTGAGAAGAGGCTCGGCGAGAAGACACACAGCCCATCGGAGTGGGCACTGGAGGGGAGATACAGCCGGCGCAAGCTGCAGGGTGCTTTTCCAGTGAGGAAGCAGAGCAAAAAAAAAAAGTATCTGTTACTTTTGGGCAAAGCCGATGGGTAGAGGAGGGGGAGGGGGGCGGGATCTGTGGAGAGAGAGCGAGCGAGAGAGAAAAAGATTCGAGAGAAAGAGGCAAGTAACGATGCAAGCAAAGCAGGAAGAAGAAGCTTTAGGAGCGGGATGCACAAAGTTGCTTTTCTGTTGTCATCTTTCGGTAATCCAAGGCAGGGGGACGAGAAAGGCCAAAGGTGAAATACCGAAAATCCCAGGATTCATCAAGCGAGACGAGCCTTAGCTGTGGCTGTCTCTCCCACCTCCAGGGGGGAGGGACTCGTGTAGATTTATCAGCTGTGCACAATTTTCTCTCCCACTCTTCCATCCTCATCTTGTTGCTTTTTCCCGTCTGCCAGGCCCGTTGACTGGTCTGCCTATTCGTCCACTGTCCAGTGCCTTATGGATTACGGGTGAGACGGAGACTGGACTAGGTCACCACCGTATGCCCATGTGCTGGGCTGGCTATGCGTGATGTGGAAAATGTGCTAGCTGGGTAGCTGTCCATACACAGCTTGCCATGCAAAAAAGATGTACATGTACGGATTATTGTACGAAACTTACGCCCACAACCTACCCGGCAGGCACAGGAGATATCCTCCCCCCTGGACCAGCGCAGAAGCAGGACCGCTGCGACCGCAGAGAAACACAAACGTGGATGTACAATAACGGCTCTGCTGGGCAACTGGCACATGGCAACTCCCATTGGGGAGTGGTCATCACCAACGGCACCCAACCCAACTCGGTATCGAGTACATGCAGAACTGCGTGTCACTTGCGTGTGCTGAGCTCTGCATGCGAGGTAGATGTAACCAAGCACCGCCTGGCACCTACCTAATACCTTACCTTACCTCACCTCAAGCACCAAGAAGGAAAAAAAAAAAAAGTCGCCCGCCACTAAACCCAACCCCACAAGAAGCTTGTCCAAACGGCCCAGTCCCGTCTCCCGTTGACTACTGGCAGTCCCGCGGAGCCAATGGTACGCTTAGAGACCGCAACTTGTTTACCGTGATACCTGCACCGTAGTGGATGAAGGGGATCGTCGGACGAACACCACTGGACCGTTGGTGAAGTGTTGACCTGGCATTCTGTCGTCTCCTAGCCACCCTATTTCTTGTTGTCTTTTTCTTTGGTGGCCAGTGACCAATGGTTTACCAGGCGCAAGAACTCTCGCGGAGCTTGCCAAGAGGGCCAGGTTGAAAGTCGTCTGGGTATCCGTATCATGTATCCCTATGTCTGTACTCCGTACGGAGTCCATACGAATATGGGACCTGGGCTTTCCACTGACTACACTACGTAGTAGAAAATAGAAACAGACTAGGATGATGGCTAGACTTTGGTTTCGCGAGAGAGGGGGGAGCTTGAGCTGTTCAGCCTCCATTTAGAGGGTCTCCATTTCCAGACGGGACCCCCAGAAGGCGATGGCGTCAAGGCGTTTGCAGGGACCCAAATGACCTGTCTCAAAAGCTACAGTGAATGCGACGGGTAGAACTATGGAGGGACGAACAGAAAAACGGATGTCACCATATTGTTCTAAAAAACTCAGGGACGTTGTTGACGGGCAACAGTACATCTGAATTGGCTCCCAACTGACAGGAGCGTCAAAGCCTAAAATCCTACAGTACCTAAGGTAAGGTAAGGTAGGTATTAGCCCAAAGGCACCTGCCGTCACCTCATGTCTCCTCCGTCCGACGTCCCGGCTCGGATACAGACGAAAATCGCCATATCGGGGCGTTTGCAACCAACGGTGACTCCTTCCTTCTCTTTCGCTGCAACCCAGCGGGCCGGTTCGAGAAGGTTCGGTGGGGCCCCGTCCCGGGACCCTGCACAGTCAGCGAATCAGCCTCGAGGGTTGGCCGCTGTCATGGAACCCTTGGAGGCTGCTTGGGGTGGTCCGCCGAACCGCCCGAAGAAAAGCGTTACCGTCTCTGATGACACCCGACCACTTTCTGCACCGTGGGAGCGTGGGAGGGAGGGCCTCACCTCACGCCGCCCCTTGGAAATATGTGTGCTGCACTGCGGGTGCGAGTGCAGGCTGCAGAAGGGGGCCTGGCACTGGCTGATTTGCAGCAATCCCAATCCCCAACCTCCTGCAAACCGAGCTGATGGCATCACCATGGCCCATCCCATGCCGCCTTCTTTGCCGGTTCACAATTTCCGCCTTCTTGACAGATCTCGTTGCTCTCTCAAAGTCGAGGGCTACAGAAGTATAGCGGAGCGAGCGGGTCGTCAACGTCTCTCACGCATGCAGGTCGAAGCCAAAGTCATACATCGTGCATGCACTGCCCGTTCAACGGGGGTGCCTGTCTCCCAGCCTTTCCCATTACCCAGAATCCCATATCGCGTCTCGATTTGCGAGCTTGGATGATGTCCTCGAGCTTTGGGGAGCTGCGCCCACCCGATCTCGGTCACACATCTTCTTCCCTCACTCTTCATGTTGTCGGTGGTCACATCAAGTGCCTGCGGCTGCACGTTGTCACCCTGGACTCGGCGCTAAACGGAAACCAAACTGCCGTGCTGTGAAACCCAGCCGAAATTATACCTGTTATTACCGTGCTCCTATGTGCTTGATGCAAATAAAGTACAGTCATGTCCCAATTCGTTCATCAATCCTCGTTCCCATGTATTTGTGCTTTCGTCCCGGAGAGGTTTGTCCCCACGTGCCTCTCGCTCATGTCGTCACCAACAATTACCTTGATTCACCAATGCGCCGCGTACCTTGCCTGAATTCAGCTCAATCCTCGGATCCCTCCGCCGATGCAGCTTCGGATGTCGTATTGCTCCCCATGATGGAGTTGACAAAGTCCTGGTATCTAAACACCTCACGGCGATTCCCTAAACCGCCTTGCATGTTGCGGTTGAAAGCTCGCCTGCCAGTGAATCCCTCGATGACCTTTTCAACCTCGGTCTCTGTAAGCGGTCGCTCGCCGGGCTCTGGCGCGGTGTGCAGAAGCGCATCCCGCAGCTCCGCGAGGTCGATCTGTCCGCTGTCATCGTCGTCGAACGCTGAAAAAGCAGACAGTAACTCGGATTGTGGTGACAAGGAGGCGAGCATCGTAGCAAGGGAATTCAGGAACGCAGCCATTGTCATCGTTTGAGGTGTTGATGGCGGGAAGAAGTTTGACACATCGGAGGGTTTGGACGGCAGGCCTAGAAAAGTTGTTAAACGAGGGAACTTGGTGGATATGTTGAGTTTTCGAATCTTACCCAACTGATTCAGCATGTCGGCTACATCTTCCCTATTGATGACGCCATCGCTGTCGCGATCCAAGACCTCGAAACCCTCTCGAAGCTGTCTGACTTGCGCAGGTTGTAGATGCGATATGGCGTTCCCATGGCTCATTGTCTTCTTTAAACCAGGCCGCAGAGGCTGTGGCGAGGCCATGGTGGTGCTTTCGGCGGTTGGTGTCCGTACTCGCGGCGTCTTGCTCTCGGCCGTGTCTGTTGGGGTGGTTGGGTTGCCGAAGCGGCCGTTGTTCGTAGCGTAGGATGCCTTCGTGGGCGACCCGAAAGGCGTCACTTGGGTCACTTGAGTCGTTGAGGTCTGTCGGACTGCTGATGGTGATGCTGGAGATTCTGGTCTTCTGAATGGAGAACTGCGAGGAGAGCCATGAGGCCCTAGTGGGGAAGGTTTGTAGCCAGCGGGCATTGCCTGTTGTGGGTTCTTCAGGTCAAAATTCATGCGACTTTCCAAGAGATTTAATGATCCGCGCGCGAAACGGGCCCTAGCCTACCATATCGAAAAGGTGTTCGGGGCGGGAGCAGCTGTGGGAGGGAAATAGGGAGTGCCTTGCTCTGGATCTTTGATGCCGCGCGCCCACTTGGCAGCGAAGTAAACAATGAGAAATATGGGGATTGGGCCGAGAGACGACGGTAAGCGTACTAGAGACGAGTAGAGGACGGCAATGTAAAGAAGAAAAGAAACTGCTAAAATTGCGTATGGCGTTTCTGGTATCAGTATCGAATAGAATGTATTCTCGTATGGTTCTGCGTTGGTTTTAAGATGGCGTTGCAGTTCAATTGTGGAAAGGTCTGATCCAGAGCAGAGACAATGGGCGACTTTGGGTGACAGATGAATGTAAACAGAGGCGTCTTCTCCGTGACAACCGTAGCCTTGCATGACCATCCTGTCCGTGCATGGCAATCCTGGGGGGAAGGGGGGGGAGAGCCTCATACCTCAGGGAGGGGGAAAGTGTGGCTGTCAATATGTGGCTTGATCACAATTCCCTGTGTCAGCTGCCAAAATGACTTTCTCCAGCCACATGGGTTTCATGTAAGGTCCCTTGGGGCGCTAAGCAAAAATTAGGTTGAGAGCGACAGCTCGGACCACCATTTTCTCAAAAGGGGAAAGCACAAAGGACAAGGGAAGGCGGGGGGAGAAACGTGGAAAGGGGAAGAGGCAGGAGGGGAGCAAGGGGGTCCTTGGGGGCTGCCGAGAAAAGAAGGCCCTGCCTTTCCAGTTCCATAGCAAGGGAAGGTATTCGTCGGTGGGTGATCACTGATGCTTAGGTGGTAGGCAAGCCGCAAAAGGAGGGGGGGATTGAGAGGGATTTTAGGAGGGAAAAGAGGACACTGAGAATCCGTGATCAGCATTGTTCCCGACGCATTCGTCCAACGCTTTCTCGCTTTCTCTCGCAGACACTGCCCACTTGGCTCACGGATACGGATCCCAACCTGAGCCCACACTCACTGTCAACTACCTGCCTGCCTCCCACACACTAACAGCAACGTAGGGCCGCCTCGTGTCTGTTCTTCCCTCTTTGTCTGCCCCCGGGCTGAGTGTCTGACTTGACTGACAGATTGCCCGTCTGTGTGTCGGTCGATTGCCCACCAGCTGGCCCTGACTTGTCTGGCTCCTCCGAGGTACGCGCGCTGAAGAGTTCTGAATCTGAATCTATCCGTAACCACGACCTGCTCTACTCGTCACCTTTGACTAGCCCCGAGCGACACGCGGAGGGCCGCCAGTGTCCGGCGACCACCAACCAGAGGTCCTTGTCGCGGCAATCCATCCAGGGGCACACTGCAAGACCTCCCCCCTCCATCTCAATCCGACGCCCTGTTTGGTTCGCACCAAGAGGTGCGTACCTTGCTTCGGCGCGCCTTAGCTGAGCATTATTCGAGCCGGTGGGGGATCGAATTGGATTGCACAATTTTAAAAAAGAGGAAAAAGAAGCACCGCACTATCAACTATCCCCTGTCAGGAGTCCTGCCTGGTTTGGGACTCCCAGATACCTTTCTGTACTCCGTACGGAAACCTATCTTTAAGAAGTCAAGGATACCAAGAACGCCTGGGAGCAACCCAATAAGAACCGACGAGACCAGAAGACCAGACCAAACGTCGAAGCAGATCATGTCTCGGTGATTTTCTCTTCCACGCATTGACGCTTTCTGCATCTGTCCCCCCGACAGGATATACCTGCTCTCTCTCCCCCTCGTGTGCCGGAGGGGCCATCCTGTTTCCGCTGGTTGGCAAAGACTGGTAAATGTCAGTCACTCGCCTGCATCTGACGTTTCGAAGAGCGCATTCGGCTATCGTCTGAGAACGCCTCCACGCGCTACCCTGGGCTTGAATACGATTACCTACCGCGCATACCTACACCACCTTACCAATACCGCTCCTGGACTACCTTGCACCTAAGGATACAACTACGTACTATACCGCCTCGCCAACTCCGTCCTCCCGTTCCCTCGTACTCCGTGCTTCGTACCCATCTACCCTTCCGTCGCCGCCCTTCCCCCCCTCCATCTCGCATCTTGCATCCTGGCCCATCGACTCGCACTTGGCTTCAAGGACTCGCCCAACCTCCAATCACCTATTGTACGATTTCAGCGACGACGACCCGGCAAAGAATCACTTGATTGCCCTTGTTAATGTCGCAGCATTACCGTCGAATGTCGTTGGCCACGAGCCGTTAATCTTTCGGGAAATTGTCAGCAAAGGGCTCCCACCATCGTCGCATTTCTCGATCGGAGACAAACCTACTTTTGCTGCACCTCCACGAACGGACCTCTCGACTGCATTTGGATGGCTGTGGCTACCGGCAGCCTGCGCAACACCTTGAACCCCCCAACTACCGACTTGTTGAACGACTCCGCAATTTAACATTGCTCTCACAAGCATGGCTTCGACCCAAGCTGCGCTGCCGTTCCTCACGCGCAACTATTCAAACACGCAGACCCAGTACCCTCCACCGCCCAACGGCCCTTGGCCTAGTCGTCGCACTTCACTCTCCAGTTTCCCAGCTTCGCGGTCGCCTTCGTCAATGTCCAACACATCTCGCCCGTCGCGATCTCCCCAGCCGCCTCCCATTGCCGAGACGGACCGCTCCTCGAACCCGAGCTCAAAGTCAAAGACACCGTCCACTGGTGTCTCATCACAACACTCGTCGCTGTCTGCCCCGAGGCGATACAATCCGGATGCGCATCCTCCCCGCAAGTTGCGCTCGCAATACCCGCGAGGTTCCACCGAGAACCATGTCGAGTACATCTTGGTGGCCTCGTTCGATATAGATCGGGGCCCGGTAATGGAGCACCAATACCCTGTTTCCATTACCGGCGACGAACATATGCTCGCAGAACTCATGTTGCCCGATCAGGCCCATGTTCGGAATCAGGACTGGACTATTTTCTTCTTACACAAGGACACGAGCCAAGAGGAAGAGGACGAGGAACGTAAGGCGAAAGAGGCCAGGAAGCGGAGAAGACGGCGTTTGCGCAATCGCGCTGCTGGCATCGTCGACGAGGAAGATGACGACCCGGACTTGGACGAAGATGAGGGGGACCTTGATGACTTGGACAAATACGACGACGAAGATTCGGACGACGGCGAACCCGAAGGCGGAGAAGGTCCGCCGTTGATCTATGTTCTGAACTTGGTCAACACAAAGCAGGACAAAACGGTCAAGAGAGGTGCTGTTGTCAAGGCGATGGCAATCTGCACGAGGCATCCCTTCCTGCATATATACAAGGTGAGAACTTGCTAGCCCTCTGCTCCCCTCGCTTGATCAGCCGGCTTACTTATATCAGCCCCTTTTGTTGCTTGCCTTGGACGAGTACTTTAAGGCGCCGGTTCCCGAGACGCTGGCGATGCTCTACGATGCCGTCAACGCAATGGACCTGTCTCTCATGCCGAAGCTTAGCCTGCTTGAGAGGCACCTGCTTTTGGCAAGTGACAACAAAGATTTGTTCGTTGAAAAGTTTGAGCAAATGATTCAGATGCGGATAGCCGAGGACCGCGGCGAACACCTCTCAGATCAGCCTTTCGATGCAAGTCGAGACCCTCCAAAACTGCCGGGCGTTTCGAGAGCAGGAACAAAAGCGCACGTTGAAGGTGCTTCGCAGTATTCGGTTCCAAGGGATACACACGAGTTTGAGAGCAGAGTCATGTACAAGGGCATACCAATTCCCATCAAAGTTCCCGTCGCTGTCATGCCGGAAACGGTGGGTGACTTTTCTTTGATCAAACTGATCCAGAAGTTTTCGGAGCCACAAGGCAAGGCGCCACAACCGTTCCCTCTGCATCCTCAATTGACGACAAACGGCCCGCATACGCACCCCATCATTGTATTGGTCAATGCATTGTTGACGCAAAAGCGGGTGATCTTCCTGGGGCACAATATGCCATCAGGCGAGGTTGCGGAGGCAGTCTTGGCGGCCTGTGCCTTGGCATCCGGTGGTACGCTCAGGGGCTTCACGCGACACGCGTTTCCTTATACCGACTTGACCAAGATTGATGATCTCCTCAATGTACCCGGCTTCATTGCTGGAGTCACCAACCCAACGTTCGAACTACACCCCGAGTGGTGGGATGTATTGTGCGACTTGCCTACAGGCCGAGTCAAGATCAGTAGCAAGATCGATTCGGCTCCAGTAACAGAGGGAATGGTCTACTTTCAACAGCAAAACCCGTCATACGCTGGGCTTGTCGGAGGCACCTCCAAGGTCGCAGCCGAAAGTGATCTGACAGGCGACGCGGCTTTCATGCAAGATATCCTCCGAAGTATCGCGGCAAGGCACGGTGAGAGAGTAATACGCGCCAAATGGCGAGACTGGGTTATCAAATTCACGCGAATCGCAGCTGCGTTTGAGGAGAGTGTGTACGGCGCAAGTGCTCTTTACATTGGCGGTGACGAACTAGAGATGGGCCCGGTGGGTGTGAACGGGCACGGCTACGTGTGGCCTGATGAACAATCGAAACACAAGGAGCTTGCGGGTAATGTGACGAGGATTGAAGGGTGGAGGAACACAAGGAGCTACTACAGCTTCATCCAGGTAAGGGAGCCACGGGATCTGTCACTGTTCCCAAGGATTTGTACTAACCGCCGTAGGATCTCGCACTGCTTTACACAGTGAGGCCGTTAAAGGGCCTTGACTTACACCACATGCACGACCGACTACGGACACAGCGGCTCAACCCGATGCAAAGCAAGGAAATTTACGCAGCGTTTCACAAGTATGTCCACTCTTACGACGAGATCTGTTTGCTGTTGAGCGTTGCGCCAGAGTCGCATGCTGGCCTGTTCTACGTCGCACTTGGACTCTTCCACAAGGACCGCGAAGTGCGCCTCAAGACGGCCGACCTGCTGGAACGCATTGGCGAGCACGAGGCGGGGCAGCACTGGTGGAAGGCCCTCAGTCGGTTCGAGAAACTGGCCTACAACCGCATCCGCAAGGAGATGGACGCCGAGATGCGTGCGAAGCTCGAAAAGGAGGGCTTGAGTCCCGAGGTGGAGAAACGGGTCAGCTAGGCGCTTTTCCTGACTTCTTCGGTTGCATCTTACTAGATATACTCCCATCACGGCCGGCGCTCTCTCTCTCATATTACCCGACACTGGCGTTTCTGCTATATCACACTCATGTCATGCGCAAAATACTCCATGCGTCAGGAGAATAGGTGCTTTTGGGGGGTTTTTGCTTTTTTTCTCTTCACGAAGGTCATGATTGGAACGGGGTGGATGAAACGTCGATTATTATTCTCAAATTTCAAGAATCTCAGCAGCAACCTACTACTACCCTAGTTAAAAAAGAAGAACTACACGTCGACTGCGCGCACGCAACGTCTCTTTGTCCTCTCGACATCTTTGGTATTCCTACTCGGCCTGAACTTTGGTTCCATTCCCTCCCTCACTGCGTGCTCCCTGATCATTGACGTCAACGGTATCGTTTACTTTGTTTACAGTCTTGTCCGACCTTCGAGTCACGCGGAGCCGAGACCCAGGTGCTTGGCAGCGTGGTCTACGTGGTCCTTGGCGAAGGAGGCCATGAAGAAGTAAGAGTGGTCGTATCCCTGATCACTCTGGTCAGCGTCTAAAAGTTTTGATATGTCGATGAATTGGGCTCAACTTACGTAGTGATATCTCAGGCTCAGACCCTGGAGGTTCTTCTCCTTGACGACCTTTTCAAAGTTCTCGGGCAGCAATTGCTTCTGGATGTAGAAGTTGTCACCGAGGCCCTGGTGTCTCTTGTATTAGTTGCCAACTCCCATATACGTCATTGTGATCA